AGAGATCAAGCTATTTTTAAAGCTATCAATCTATTTATAATGCACTGTGGGTGAATATTAACTTGATCATTTTTTTGTTTGTTTGTTTTTTTTTCTTGGTAATTTATGAAGAACCAAAAATTAGTTTAATGCTTTCCCTGAAATATTTTCACTCTGTTTTTAAACTGCTTGAAAAGTAATAGTTTTGCAGCTTGACAAAAGATTGCTCTTAATGCATATTTTTGCTATTTTAAAATATTTTAGTTTAGTACTGGTGGATTGTTTAATGTTTTCTTTTGAATATGTTAAAGGCATTTATCTTAATTATTGATTTAATTTTGTTATGATTATGAAATATAGTCATGTTACATAATAATAGGAACTTAATAAGTATTCATTTTCTGTAACTTAACAGGTGCACTAACTCTTGAAAGATATAATATGCCCCCTGGTCAAGTAGAATGTAACATGTTGCTATTTTATATCAATTAAGGGCAAACAAAGGTATGGGGGAGGGGGGAAATGGATAAGATTATTCACTGATGTCGGAATGAATTTAATGAAAATCATTCAGAATTCCCATGATTGAACATTGGAAGCCAGAAAAAAATAAGAATTCAGATTTTGTTTGTTTTGTTTTGTTTAATTTCTAAACTCCTGAACTTAGTGATGACATTTGTCTAGTACTCCTTCCTGTAATGTCCATTTCTGGTTTATTTGACAGATGTGGACAGTGTCTTAATGAGAATGACCATCATTGGTATCCTTCTATCCTATCGGTCATTGGCTCAAGAGGCCTTGCTGGACGTAAGTAACATCTCTACATTCATCACCATAAAATACTGAATTCTATGGATATCAGATAATCTATACCCTGTACTCTGGACATCACAGATTCATTATATAAGAATTAAAGAAATCTGTAAACAACAAAATGACTGACTGAATGTTATTGCATCATAAACTTCATTTTTTTTTATTGGGGGGGGGGGGGGGGGTATAATATCAATATGAAAGGATATCAGAAAGAATATTCATTATTCATGTTAGTTCTTAGTAATCTGGGATTTTTAGGTAATATACCCTGTACAAAAATTTGATATTGTAGTTAAGTATCTTGATTTTTTAATCTAGGTATTGGAAGATAGAATTCCTTTCTTAATGGCATCAGTTCAGGACCTGCAGCATTTTGTGCCCAACATGAAAGACACCAAGGTGAGAACTGTCCCACTAATCTCAGATTAATCCATTCCTATCTGGTAATACATATAGGGAACCACACAGAAAGAATGTAGCTGTACATTAATGTTTTTCTAATAAAAAATAAATGTAGATTATTTTTTTTTTATTTTACATATGTAAATGGATTGATGTACTTAAAAAAGGAGTGAACATTTGGCTGCATGGAAACATGCTGCTAACTAATATTTGTAAATATGCTCTAATTATGCTTCAGGTGTAGTCTGTTAATTTAATGTACAATGTATTTATACATGTATAATTTAGCTCTCTTTTCATGCTTTTGATGGGCTCACTAGGTCCCCATATCAGACTTATTTGGTAGATCTCAATTATTATTTTATTTCCTTTGAAAAAGTAGTTAAGGAAATTACTAGATTTGGAAATATATCCACTGAGCTTTTTAAATTTTCAGCCTTAGTGCTATTTCATAAGACCAGGATTTATCTTTCCAAATTTAGGAATTTCCTTGGTGCACAAAATTATTAATTAGAGAAAATCCATAGTTCCACATTATAATATAATTTCTGTACCATGTGAGATAATTAGAGTAAAAGGGCACCTGCATATGACTGACACTGCATATTTTTCACATAACAGTATTCCAACATGAAGCAGCAGGTTTGTCTATCTCTTGTTTTGGCTTTTGTGTTTTGTTAGCATATTGTAAATGTGAACTTATTCATTTGTCATTATGAGAAAATATGATTCTTGAATGCTGAATTGTTTAAAAAGAACAAAAAAATATCTTATGAATTATGATGCTCAATTTAAAAAAAAAAAAAAAAAAAAGTCGTGTTTATTCATCCCCAGAAAACATAATGTAATTTTTTTGTATGTTCCAAGTGATTCTATAGAAAGGTATTATTTTTAGTTTAAAAAAAAAAGAAAAGAATATGTTCATATTTATAATAAACTCAGAAGATTTTTTTTAAAAATCTTTTTTCATGGCAATTTTCATTTTATGTTGTGTTAATACACAATGTGCTGTCATGTGTATAGTTTGTAGAATTATCACAAAACTTAATTAACCCACCAAAGTTCCGAATAGAGTTATTTTATATTAAATGTAAGGTAAATTAATGTTTGTTAAATTTATGTTATCATAAAGTGTGTACCCTTTTGTAATGTCCCCATATATATAATTTTGATGAACAATAAAAAATTTTTGGAGTTGAATTTGAACTGAATGCCTGGTTTTGCCTGATGTGAATTTGTGCGTGGCTTGAATTAGTTTATAGAGGCTTCAGAGTACAGAGTTTGTGAGAAAAAGTCCATTTTCAAGAATTCTATTTACAGCTGCATTATATAGTGACTAGATGTTCTGTAGATTTAACATAGAATACACCTAACCCCACACATTTGTTATTGTACGTGTACAATGTGTATTTGGAAAGGATTCCATTTGTCAAAGTTCGTCTGCCCTTTTTACATTAAAACTTAATTGACATATCCCAAGATGATACATTATTATTTAAAGAGGAAGATGAAGGCTGTCATTTTCTCTATAACTATGTATTTTGTTCTGTAGGTGGTCAATGAGATGGCCTCAGCAGCAGGACTCTCCTGTGATATTGACCCCCTCCTTATAAGTGCCCTGAGATCCCAGAAAAATGGTGGGTATACCTCCTACTGCAGATTGTATTGTGTGTTATTTACCTCTGTGGCTCATTTACATGTAGTTTGATGTCATGTGAAATGCTACTTTCTTTTGAATGTTTTTTTATTTGTTTTGTTTTGTGTCTTTCTTTTTTTTTTTTTTGTCTTTTTTTTTGGGGGGAAGGGGGGGGGGAAGGGGTTGGAAGGGTGGAAATTATGAAATTATATTGCAATATGGCCTATGGAATTTCTAATGATAGGGTTAAGTGAAATTTGCTGATAGTTTTAATGCTACATCATTAAAAGAATATTTTTTTTAAAATTTGTTAATTTTGAAGTGTCACAATCGACTCAAACGAAAGACAATAAAGGGAAAGGTAAGAAACCGTATTTGGAGGTGGCTCGTAAAACCATTTGTCACAATTATTCAGCAGGACCATTTAATCAGATAACAAGGATTTCCAGTGGATGCATGCAATATTTGATTGTAGACTTATTTAAGTCTTTTTATGTTGGGAATGGGTAAATGTTCAGAGTTCACCTTTAATATACAGTCAAATAATGTATGCAATATTTGATTGTAGATGTATTAATGACTTTACATTGTTTTATGTCGGGAATGGGTAAATATTCAGAGTTCACCTTTAATATACAGTCAAGCCTCGTTATCTTGAACTCAATGAGACAGAGAAAAAACGTCGAGATATCCAAGGATTTGAGATATCAGGGTAAAATACTTAAAGAATAGCGGTTGGGACTTCCAAATCACTTTGACATATCCATGGTATTCAAGATATCAGTGTTAGATATACCGAAGTTAAATTGTACATGTAGCTGATTCTGTTTGAGAATTATAACGAAAAGTTCAAGATTCCAAGGGTGGTACTTTTGACTTTAAAAAGGGAGTATATCTTACAGTAAACATTGAGTGGCAGCATGATAAGGCTTTTTATTGTTGTGGGTTGTCATGGTAATGGTAGCAGGTAATTGCATGTTGTGGTTTTGTCTTTTGAAAGAAATCGTGATTTTACATTCAAGCAGAGGGTAACAAAGACTATAGTAAGTACTTCAAAGGAAAAAAAACCCCACCATATCTGAATTGATGAATCTCCTTTTTAATATGGATGTACAAGTGCATTTTTTAAAATATTTTGGAACATTGTAAGTTCTGTCATGGTGGAGATGTCAAACAAACAACAAAGCATGGTGATGAAAGCATGAACTTCAAAATAACTAAAAAAAATTTTAAAATGTCGTACAGAGATCTTAATTTGAAATGTTCATTTTTCTGCTAAATATTCTTGTGTTTATAATGATCTGTTACTCAGAAATTAACAATCACTCAACTAAGACTTGATAAAATGCATGTACTGTTAAACTTTAAAACATGTACATAGTCATATTCGGTGTGAAGAAAAGGATTTCTATGTTGTTTGTACACCTATTTATGGTTTGTGTTACTGATACATCTTGTTTTAGAGGACACTCCAAGAACATCAACCTCTAGTCAGTCTAGTGACACGGAAGGTATCCCAGAACAGAGTACGCGCCTTTAACTTTACATGTAGTTTTTCCAGAAACATGTCAATCCCTTGAAGATTCAATAGCTTTTGAATTATTCGATCTCCTTTTATACACATACTTCCTTACAATGTATAGCATACAATATTTGTTTATTTTGAAAATCTTTTAAGCTTATGAAAGATGTTTTATATTGTATTTCAAAGGTTTGCAAAATATTCCATTTTCCTCACATACACATGTACATTCATTGTTGAAGGCACCCTATAAAATAGATCTTAATATTATATGTTATGTACATATAGAGCTGTATCTGATTATATGAATGCCATGTGAATAGTTCTTCATCAAATTTACCATAACTTGGATGAGACTGAGTCTTTGCATGACCATTGATGCATGTGAAATGTTTTTGGCAGTCCTCCCAAAATTATTTTATTTCAGCTTACCTAGTGGAAATACAATAAATATATTTGCCTTTCAATTCTCATACAGTTTAAATTTACTTTATTTTTGTTTTTTAATTCTGAACATTGATATTTACTCATATTGTTCAATATCTCTTTGTCATAACCTTTTTATTTTATTTTTTTTTTAATTTTACAGTATTTTATTTATTTATTTTGTTTGGTTTCATTGTTTGTTATTTACAAGAGAAATGGTTGGAGTAGTTTTAATTACAAAATGACCAAAATAGATTCTCTGTGACTGAGCTATACATACTTAAGATGAGCCGTGTGGCTTATTTTATCAGTGGCCAATGAGAGTGACTACGAGCTAGCCTGCCTACTGATGGTGTTTGTAGCTGTGTCCATTCCCACACTGGCCAAAAAAGATTTCTCCGTATTCAAAGCTTCCCTAGAAGGTATGTGAGAATTACCTGTTAAGATGTTAATACATCTGGTATGTGTGCAGGTAAAAGATTGTTTTTACCAATATCCTTATCTTTAAATTGATCATTTTTGCCTGTTATGACTCTTGCTTTATATGCTTGTGGTAGTTTTATAGTTAAATTCATTCAATTTTCAACTAAAATATTTTTGTTGACATACCTATGCTATGCTTAATACAGATATGTGGAAAGTTTTTACCAGGGAGTATATACAAAAATCAAAAAATATATACATGTTTTTCAAAGCACAATTAGAAAAATATTGTATATGAAAGTTTTAAAAATACATGTATCTTCGAATGCTAAATAGATGCATATATGTGATGGATCTTGTTCATAATAATTCTGTTTTCTCTTTAGGAAATCTGAATAACTCTCACTGTCTGGCTAAGGCTGTGAACCAAATAGCAGGTGCTTTGTTTACCATCCATGGACCTGGTGATGTGTCTGACAGGTTACAGGAATTCCTAGCTGTAAGTCTCTCATGTACCTTTAGGGTATATGGTATTCTGGCTCCATTGTTTTGCATTGTTAGATATACCAAGATAGAAAATATTTACTTGCTAATGGATTTCTTGTTGTATGTGACCAATAGAAGGAAAATTTGTTAAATATACATGTAGCACCAAAAAATTTCTCCTTCTCTCAATTACAGCTTGCCTCATCAAGTCTGCTACGATTAGGACAGTCCCAGGAGCAAGATAAGGAAACTGTCAGAAATAGAGAATCTGTGTATATACTGCTAGATCTGGTAAGAAACCTGACAAATATTAATGCATAGAATATTTAGGTGACTTGGAAGTTTTGTGCATAATCGTCATTCATTAGAATTATTCTGTATACCTCGGTATGTGTATGCTTCCTTTGTAAATTTCAATTAAGAGCTGATAGTTACACACCTTAAAAAATGTCCCAAGAAATTCATTGGTCTCTTGTTTTCTTTGACAGATTGTGCAGGAGTCCCCTTACTTGACTATGGACCTGTTGGAGTCCTGCTTCCCCTATGCTCTATTGAGAAATGCTTACCACACAGTGTATAAAGCCTCAGCAGTAGACAACTAGGTCAAGGTCACTAGAGACACAATTTTCTATTAGAAAATTCCATTTGGTATATATTATGTGATGTGAATCCCAACTAGCGAATCCTTCCATGGAGGAATTGCCTATGAACAAATTTGATTTGGGGGTATAGAAGCATTATGATAAATGACTTGATGAAATGATGCAGTAATAATTGTAACACAGAACCAGTGCATGTTATATAATACTGTAACAGGGTTATTTCCTGCCCCATGTCATTTTTGCCCTTTCACACTTGCGAACAATTTTGCCCCATTTTAAATTTGCCCAGTCACAGTTCTGTTTCAGAAATTATACAGTGTTCTTTGAATTCGCCCAGTTTTAAAATTACCCTCTTGTGATTAGGGTGAAAGGGCCAAAAATAAAACAGGGGCAAAAATTTCCCTGTATACAGTATACATTTTAAGTACAGATGTATCAAAATGATAAATGTACCTTTTGTGTACTATAGTATAACAACTGTAATATCAATTTATAATGAGCCATGGAACTTCTATATTACTGCTGGTTAATTTCTATAGTGTATGGCATATATGCATGTACAATTGTATGAGGAATGGGTGTTAGGATATTTTAAAATGCCATTTGGCATTTCTATGAACAAGGATTTAAAAGCTTGATAAGGGCTGTATTAAGTTTGTGGAATTGTGTTGTATTTTGATATTACAGTTTTGTAAACAGAATACAGAAGAAATCTTTTTGGAACAAATAGACTTAAAATGTGCATAATACATGTATGTATATTCTGGTATTTTGTTCCCATGACAGTGCAATATTACATAATCGTACATTTTTATCATCGAATAATATAACATATACATGTATGTGATTTTACTTCATTAGTGTATGTGTAAATCCACATTGTGCTCCATATTTATCAGTACACAACTGTACATCCTTTTTTTTTTTTTTAAAATGCATGAAATATAGAGACAAAACATTTACATTAATATACATGGTATGATAGAGATCTGATATGTTAAGGTGCAGAAACAATACAGGTACTTAATGATTATGTTGAATTATTATAATACTGATTAAAATTTTGAAGTATGAAAAGCTGGAGTTTTTGTTATTCATTTGTGTCTACTAGAATTTTGTCTGAGGTCAAGTGAACTATCTTCAAGGGAGATAATTAATATGTGTAAAGTAAATACACATACACTAAGAACAATGTATAGAATGCCACCAACTGTAAAATCAAAATTTTATCTTTACACTTCAAAGGTTGCAGATGCAATAGTTGTGGATTCATTGAACCATGTACACGTTTTATGTCTGGGCCATTTATTTCATGTAAACACAGGGTAGACAAGATGACCTAAGGGAAAGTTTAAAACATGGAATTTATATACCGGTAGTTGTTTATATAAAATACACACTTTTTTGAGAGCTTTACCAAGCTGGTAAATTCTTCACCATTTATGACATCTTCATAACTGGAGAATGAGTTACCAAAAAGAATTCTTTAGATTATTAATAATTAGAATTTGATATATTACTTCTTGATGTCCATACCTGTAGCTGTTCATAATCATTCACTTTAATTTGAGGTTATGAATCATTGATACTCATAAGAAATGGTATTTGTAATGATTTAATCTGAATCATATATAATTATGTACAAGTATATAATCAATGAAGTAAAACAGAATGATAAAATACATAATGTGGCATTGTTATACAATCATTATACATATTTGTGTAAGATATTCTAAAAGTCAGGGGTAAAAAACAAGAATATACACATGTACCAAGTATACAATAACTGACTGCATGGAATGTCAGTCATCATTGCTAATCACTGCAGATGGCAGTACTTTAGAATACTGTATTTACAAAAGGAAGTTTGGTCATTTTTATAAATTGAGTCCCTGATCATGGACACAAGTGTCCTTGTGCTATTAAGAAATTACATAAAAGGTCACTGAATTTTTCATTATTAAAACTTGTTTCATCATAGCAAATGTTGAAGAATTAAAAAAAAAATTAACAGTTGTCCAATTCAAAGAAATATTATTTGCGTGAATATTGTGCCATTAAAAAGAAAATGGAAAAATAATTCAGAATCTGTATTTCCAGTGTTAAAAAGGCTGATAATTCACATGCTCTTTCCTGAATAGTAATTGTCATTGATACATAAAATGTTGTATTGTCCATTTATGGTCTTTTTTTCTCAGATCTATTGAGGTCATGGTGCATGTCCACCCTTTGTCCCAACATTACTAAGGGTGAAACCAATGGCTACTGCGAGAATTATCGTAATGCCCAGTGTGGCCATTGACATCATGAAAGCATAATCTGCCCACTTCTCAGCATACTTCATATCACCATCATAGTAAGAGCGAGAGGACATAACTGAAATGAAAAATAATCTAATCTTTAGTGAGTCTGCTTTATAAAACAAAGTTTTAAAGGTTGCATGTTTTCATACAATTTATGGAGGAAAAGGGGGGGGGTCATAAAATAAAACCAATGTAAATCTCAAAAGTAATGCATGCAGGCATTTATCTGCATTTATATTAGAGCACATGTTATTATTAAATTGAATAGGTTGGATAAAAGTCTGAGAAATTCAATTACCAGTATGAGAAATGAACCTAACATCAAATGCAATTAGAAACATTTACATCACAAATGCACTGTCAAACATTACATGAATTTAAGGACATTGACGCAATTTGTTGTATATGATGAATGAATTAGCATTAGAGAAGGTTAACCTTGCTTTTTATCACAATTACTTTATAGGGCGGAATGCTCAAATTAACATGTGACCTTTACACTTAGGTCATTAAAAACAACAGATGTAAAAGTTGAAAAATCCTAATTAATGGACTTACTAGCAAAGACAATGGCAATGGGTCCAATGAGAGGGTTAAGGATGGAGGCTATTATAGCCAAGGGGAGATAATTATGGGGTTTTCTTCCAATGTAGTGTCCATTTATTACTGTGCGGTTCACAAACACGGGATCTTTTGTCACAAGGATTTCTTTAGACCATTTGGATGAGCTTTCAAAGTACTCCGGCCCAATATTCGGTGTGGTGGATCCAGGGAATGCACTCATTTTCTCTTGTTTGTGTAACCTCAATCCTGAAATGTTTAAAATAAAAATTGAGTTTGGAAAAAAGAAAAAGGAAGATTTAATTTTTTAACTGAAATTAGGCCAAATAAAAAATATGTGCCACTGTGTTTCCGGTAACATGCCCCCCAAAATTAGGGTAGGTAGGTATAGGTAATAACCTTTTTTTAAACTTTACTTTTTATTTTGAAAACATGCATCAATTAATTATTCAATACACTTTTTTGTCAAATATGAGTACACATTTATAAATAAACAAATACAACACAAGAAGTATACATACTCTTTAAAACGCTTGAACAGAAACACTTATATGGTGTCTGAGACATGCATTTTATTGACTGCAGCATGAGAAAACTGCACTAGTGAAAAAAGTTCAAAATCCATGCACATTTGGAATAAAAAGAAGTTAGGGTCATTCGGTAAAAAATAGGGCTGGTCGGGTTCCCAGAAACACACATTTTTTTTTAGCCTTATTCTTAATTCAAAATGTATATATATATCAATTTTACAGTAATGCTATATGAAAGCATTTACCTAAGAATTTCAAGGTGCTGTAGTATCCCTACAGACTTCTATCATATCTTAGTACGCCTGAGAAATAATAAGTTTTTTTTCCTATGTTCATTTTCTTTATAAATTAAGCATGAAGAGCAATTAATATCTGAACAGTGCTTTTACATCATAAAATGATCCAAAAGGCTTTTTTTTAAAAGAACATTACTTACCATAAACATCTAGCTCCAGTAATACCGACATTGTTTGACTTTATAACGGAAATGAATATTAAGACAGGTAGAAAAAGGTGCATATACTGTCTCAAGATCATAAGTCAAAAACAAGCTAGGGAATTCTTTGTAATACCGCTAATTAAGCAATTAGTTTATTACTCCGCAATAATGTATTTACTTTTTATGGCCAGTATACATGTATATTCCGTTTCGGCTGTCAATCTTTTCATCACATATCCATTACTTTGTGATCAACCGCTTATCAATAAACTGTCCATAAACGCGTATACATCCTTCCCTTTCTTACCTGTCGGTTTTGCAATTATTAACAGAAATTTTAAACACATTTAACAGAATATAAGACAAATGATTACCTTTACATAACTATTTCCTTCCTCTGAAGTGTTGTGTGTGTTCAATTCCCAACGTTCAGTTAAAAATTATGAGTCACAAGCTTCCGCTTTACCTGAGACAGGTGTGTTCACGCATGCGCATTATTCACGTCACAAATTCTAATAAACAAACAAGCATGACAAGTGTACATTAAAAGACCGACCCCCCCCCTTTTGTTGCACTATGATCGAACCTTCATACGTTATACTACAGTGAGGTTGCCAATAACGAATCGCCCCCGTTAACGAATCACTTTCAGATAAAAATTCTGTATTTTTCTGATCAAGGTCCAATACTTAGCTCAACCTATCCTGTCATGCAGAATTATTCTTGCTTTTATTATTTATCGTGAAATTATTAAAATTCAACTTGTTCAAAGTCGTAATTTTTAAACAAACATGAACAAGATTTTTCATGACGCAGACTATTTTTATAGAAGCGTGCATGCAGCAGACTACTTTCACTTTTCGGTTGCGCTGTAATGTGAAGGGTACATTGTAGGGAAGCAAATTTGGTACAGATGTTTAATAAAATTATGTGTCTAAAAGTACAGAAAGCGCCTTACGATTCTTTAATCAGAGAATAATTGTATTAGCTATAAAGTTAGAGGTAGTTAAGTTTCCAATTACGAATCACTACTTCAAGAATTATGAGATGCAGGGATCCTGTCAAAATTATGATTTTTTGCGTGCGGTTTTTTGCACAACTGTTACAATAAAAAAAAAGAGAGAAGTTAAAATGCACTTCATTCCCCGTTCGTAGAAAAATTCTCCATTCAGTTATTATTTAAACGATATTTTGGTTTCCCTATAATACTGTAATTCATTAAAATATAACGTTAGTTCAAAATAATCTCTTTCCTTTTCTTTCTTTTACTGACATGAAATAATCATATGGACTTTAATTAAGATATGTCTCCAAAAAAAAAAAAATGCACAGTAAAGGTGGTGGAAATACACAAAATCAAAAGTCAGCCGCCAAAATCACTATAAGAAGTGCAGAGCATGTGGAAAGAGAATGTCTCCTAGTGGTGTATAATTATTTGTAAGCTAATGTGAAGTCATAGACATCGACGATGGCGCGCAGCACCAGATTGGGGGTAGATGCAAGAAACAATCACCCCTTCTCGTTGGGGGGGGGGGGGCAAGATAAAAAAAAATCGCATTCATTCATGATATAGAAGTGAGAAAATTAAAAAATAATATTCTGCGAACTTGAAGAGATCTATGATTGTCATTTGACCGGTGAATATGAAAATACAATGTGAACATAGTTTCTGTAATTGTGAAATTAAAAATATCGTCAGATTACTAAACAAAATGAAATTAAGAAATGTGTTTATTTATATCCCCATGCAATTTATCTGGGACTTTACAGTGCTAAGATAAATATGGGAACTTTCTTACTGAATCATATGATTTCCAACAATACCCCGTTTTCAGTTTTCCTAATAACAAATATTTCCAATTATCAATTTTTATTTCTTGTCATGATCAAGATCAAGCTCGTATACCATAAAATGCCATTTGCTAACATTACCTTTTCAATTCGACATCAAGCTGAATAATTTATAAACAAAGTTTTATGACCCCCTCCCTTTTTCAACCGTATACTAGTATACATATTTGATTTTTACACATATAGAGAAAATGACATGTAGGCTACATCCTTTTTGCCTGTATCATATGGAATATACGCCACTGTCTCCACGGAAAAGGGAGAAAGTCCGAAGAGCACTTTATGATGAGTAAAAATAATCAACCAATTAGGAAAGCAGAAAAGGAGAATGAGCTGCATGTCTTATTCAATAATTGGTTATTATGTATATATGGGTTTTCTGTATTTATTTATCTGTCTTTGAATTTGTAATTATATGAAAAATTGTTTATGTATCTCATAAAATTAACAAAAATGATGACTTAGAATGACTTGAAACTAATTAATTTTTTCCCGGTGGATCAGAGGCAGTTGCTCTATATCAACTAGTCATTTTTTTCCTAATGAATTCACTGGTGTTGTTTTTTGTCATCAATTGTCGGGTGCAATAAAATGAACACTGCTCAAAAACAAAAAAAAAAATTCTAAGCCTTTCTTTTTTTTCTTCTTTATATTCTAAGGCCCAGTAAAACGTAAAAAGTGTATTTTTACGCTATCCCTAACAAAAATAATCAGCTGTATGTTACGTGATTCGATAATGGAGAAAATGATCCGCTAAAGGAGAAAACATCATCCATCCAAATACCGCGATAATTTTTATTAAATCAGTGGTTGTTGGGAAAAAAATATATGATGTTATAAGTCAAGCATGGTACCACCAAACAATGTTGTATTATGAATTTAACTCGAACTCGGGTACGAACTATCAAAGCAAATTTACTAAGTGATTCGTTATCGGCGACCTCATTGTATATGAAGTATAACAATTTTTATTTTCTGGCAAAAAAACAACAAAGAAAAAATAAACATGATAAATATGTGAACAACCCACTTACCTGCACCCCTGTAGATGAGTTTTTACTTTTGACTTTTTTTCCTTTGCTTACTAAAATTTTTTAAAGGAATTTTTTCATATTCTTTGTTTGTTTGTCAATTATTAAATTTCTCTCTGGCTTTCCCTTTCAAAAACTTGCCTGCAAACCACTAATTTTATGATTAAGAATGACTTTTTATTAATGGCCAATATATATTTAAAGCAATCACTTTGACAAGCTCATGTAAATTTACTAATTATAGCTAAAAAAAAGATTTTTCCGTTTAAACTGTTTATGCGCGGATCTAGAGGAGGGAATCTGGGAAACACGACCCCTCTCAAAATGGTAAGAGTCATGTATATGAAGTAATAGACTTGGAAACGTGTCCCCCTTCCCGAAATGTTTTCCGGGTTTGAGGAAGTTGATATCGTTGGTCAAAAAATTCTTAGTCTGACATCCGTTAGCCTAAGGGTTGATGTGGATACATGTACCCGCGGATCTGCGCCTGATTTTTTTTTTATAGTTACGTTTATGTTTATTCACCAATGAAGGGCATTCAAGGGGCTAATCTCAGCGAGATTCGTAGGGACACCAGACCAAAATTTTTAGTCCCTACGAATATCTCTGAGATTATCAAGGGGCATGTACATTTATAACAATATCTGAAATCATTTCCCGTTTTTGTTTTGGTTTTTTTCGTGTTTTTTTTTTTTTTTTTTTTTTTTTTTTTTTTTTTGTATGTTTAAGTTTAACAGATCGCCCCTCTATACAATATACAAAAAGTTTGAGTAGATACAGATTAATCATCCTGATTTGGTTTATTTAATTGGAGAATAATTTTTGCAGCTGTTTCATTTGTAGAAACTCATTCACAAACCAGAAATCAGTCGTTTGGAGAAAATCAGCTGAATTCATATTGTCTCCATATATAAAGCCACAGTAAATTAATTCATTGTTTTACGTCCCGGGGCGAGAAGGTTTCCTGGAAAATCCAGTAAAAAAAAATAAATAAATAAAATAAGGAATTTAAATAATTTTAACAAATTTTTTAACAATTTCTCCCCGTATATTACGTAAACATTGCAATCCAGTATATTTTAAGGCTACAGTATTCTTTATCTTAATTTTGAGAGAAAAGGGATCAAGTCAAAAATTAGGAAAACAGAAATTAAATTTTTGAAAACCATATTTTATTCACAGAAGTGAATGGGATTAGGCATCAGGCTCAGCCTATCGTGCGCGGATCTGGGGGGATCCCCCCCCCCCCGGAATTTGCAGAGTTACTAAAAGTTTGTTCTGAAGCAAATAAAAATGACTATGGACCCCACTAGAAAACGTGGATCCCACCATCACCACCACGAAATAGGTGTTTTTTACGTTTTGGAAATGAATTATACGGTTTTTTTTTTGTTTTTGATTTGTTTTGTTTTTGTTTGTTTGTTTTTTTTTTTTTTTTTTTTGTTTTTTTTTTTTTTTTTGTTTTTGTTTTTTTGTTTGTTTTTTTTTTTTTTTGCTTGGCAAGAACTTTTCTGCGTAGGGAAAGGAATTTAGGTTTTTTTTTTTTGCTTGTGAAGAAATTCTTGGGTTGCAAATTTTTTGTGACTGGGGTGGACCCCCCCCCCCCCCTTGGAAAAATTCCTTTCCTGGATCCGCGCCTGATTTTAGCCCTCTCCCTACACCAATGTCAATTAAGGTGAATGCATGCAATATGAAGATAATGAGCAGTATTCAATCGATCTTGAAAGTCCAATGAAACAGTACAAATTTGGAGCGGAGCAAACACAGATCTCAAAATTTAGAGGTAGGATCAGGTGCCATGGAGGAGTGAGCATCCCCTGCCGACCGGTCACACACGCCGTGTGCTCCTTGTCATGATCGGGAAAAGAAGGAAAAATCAGTAGACAGTTCAGTGTATAAATAATGGCCTAACAATTAGTATGAAAAACGTCAGTCAGCATTTGACTCAATGTTAGGTTGTATGTGCTGACAAGGTCATTGTATTGACCATTAAACTTGCGAAATGATGACTGTTGTTATACTTCTTTCATCAACTTGTTTGTCAATAGCTTGCCTCATTTTAAAAATTGTTCATACGTAGAGCATGCTATTGCGTATCGAATCAACTGAGAGACATAAACCCTATATGCAGGTGATAAGAGTAAATTATGGCCGTAGGAAAAGGGGATGGGGGCTCGGGGGGGGGGGTGCCCCCCCCCCCATTATTTTGCCGATATATAGATTACTATAGAAAACATAGCTACTACATGCTTGTGCCCCCTCAATAAAAACGTCTGATGACCTTTTTCTTTTTCTTTTTTGTTGATAGTGCCCCCACCCACTGAAAATGTATGGCTGTGCCCCCCCCACCCCACCCCCAACTGAAATTGCTTCCTACGCGCCTGTATATTAATATATTACTACACAAGTATGGGAAGCTGACGATTGAAAAATTGAAGTCATCACATTTATCATAAAGCTTTTTTGTTAGGTTACCATTTAAGCCTTTTTATAGTAAAATATCTAAATATGAAACAGATGTGTCAGACTCTGTCGTACTCTGTGTATCTTTTATTTCAAGCTCACTGGGATATATCGAGTCGACATATGAATGGAAATAACTATTGTTAAT